GCAAAAAAAAGTCCGAATAGTAAAAGCTATGGTTTTTCCAGCAGTGATGTATGGAAGGGAGAGCTGGACCATAACGAAGGCTGAATGCCTCTTCCAGGGAAGCAGCTCTCCTTCTCTCTCAGCAGCCCCAGCACTAGCCCAGCCAGGGGCCACCTCAGTACCCAGCGATGCTGCCTCCTCCTCTTCATCTTGCTTCAGCCGCCTCAGCTCTGGAGGCTGCCTGGGTTCGCCTCACAAAGTTTGCTCCTCTGTTGTGGTGGTGGTAGCTGCTGCTGCTGAATGCACCTTTTTTGAGGGGGTCCCTCAGAGGAAGGTTGCCGGACTTCCATGTGTGTGTCTGTTTGTGTGTGTGTGCGCGCGCATCTGTAGGGGCCCCACCCCATTCTGTTTAATTTCACGGGTACCGGTGGGGGCTTTTCTCCTTTGTCAAGGCAAATTCTGTGTGGGTTTTTTTAAAAAAAATATGTCGTGCCCTCCTCCCCCCGCTAGGCGGTCACTGGCACTCCCTCCCTTCTCCGCTTCTTCATCCTGCTGCTGCTGCTGATGATAGTGATGAAGGAGCTGGAGGGGGTCATGGCTGGTGACAAGGCTCACGCACCCCTCCTCTTCCTTCTCCTCCTCCTCCTCCTTGGAGCCCCACCCAGACTAAGGAAACTCCTGGGTGGGTTCCTCGGGTTCTTGCTCCGCTTGGCGGAAAATCTGATGCAGCCCAGCCTCACCCAGACTCTGCCTCCAGTGGCCCCCAGGTAAATTGAGTTTGAGACCCCTGATTTAAAGCATTCCTCACTTGCTGTAATTCTGATAATTTTCATATCCCCCCCTTCATGGCTACTTGCATTTGTTAAAATATGCACATTAAACCCAAAGCTGAAAATGTAAACAGAAACAGTTGATAGTGAAAGTATTATGAGGCGATGCAAAGAAAGTACCATATCTGAATGCAGAGATAAGTTCAACTGATTTGTTTGTCTGAGTCTTTGACTTCTAAGGAACACAATTTGGTCACCTGCAGTCAATAAGAAGCCCCTATATGTAGATATTTCTGGGACCAATACACAATTATTTATACAATGTTGTACAGAGAAAAATATAAGCTCAAAATTTAAAATTATTATTTTTTAAAAATCACATTTCTAGTTCTTTATTTTTGAGCTAATTCTTTAATGGAATGTTCACTTCCTGCATTCTCACATTTCACTACATATGTCTGAAGAAGTGGATTTGTCTACCAAAGCTCAGATTATTTAAATTGCCACAGGTTTTTGTCTTCTTTTAATTTTAATTATATATATATACATATACTCCCCCCCCCTTGGGTTTTGCCTGATATGATTGCACAAACTAACAGGGCTACCTCTTCTAAATCTACATTCTCAGATTCTTCTTTGCTTCCAAGGAAAAGAGAAGAGGAGGGTAAGAAAGGTGTTATTGAATCTGAAAGAGCTATTTTCCTCCCCAAAACAAAAGAAGCTGTGATACAGCTGCAGGGGCAAAAACACACACACAAGGTGGACAGCCCCCATTGGTATGCAGCAGCATTGAAGCATCATTTCCACATCATGCTTCAATGCCAACACCATGTCCTGATGAGATGGTACAGGCTCTTTAGCTTATGACAATAGCCCCCATTGGTATGCGGCAGCATTGAAGAATCATTTCCACATCATGTTTCAATGCCAACACCATGTCCTGGTGAGATGGTACAGGCTCTTTAGCTTATGACGGCCAACATGCATATTCGGTTTCTAGTATGCTGCCAACAATGATCTAATTATATGTGGTCATTTTTTAAAAATGTATTTTATTTAACTTATATGCCGCCTACACTACCCAAATGTCTCTGGGTGGCTTACAACAATTAAAACACAATAAAAAGGTAAGACAATTAAAATACAATTAAAATATATACTCTAAAAATTGCCATTAGGACCCACAGTTGATATTATTTCAATTAAAAGCCTTCTGGAATAGGAAGGTTTTGACTTGGCACCAAAATGTTCGCCAATTGACGCCAGACCAATCTCCCTCAGGATGGCGTTCCATAGTCTGGGGGCAGCTGTCGAAAAGGCCCTTTGTCTACAAGCCATCCCTCTTACCTCCTTGAGGGATGGCTCTTTCAAAAGGTCCCCCGGCTAGGTCTTAATTGCTAGGTAGGTTTATATGGAAGGAGGTGGTCCTTCAGCTTTTTGATAGCTGAAAAGCTGATGCCTACAGAGGATAATGACACGAATTCGCAATTCACTCCGCTGCCTCTGGAAATGGTCTGGCTTGAGTGCTCTTCCGGTGATAGTTTCACACAAACATAATCATAAGACTGGAACCCTATTTCCTAGTTCTTCGTGGGTGGAGTAGCATATGGAGACGAATCTTTACCACATATTACACAATAAGAGTTCATCTTTTACATTGCTTTCAATGAAATGAGAACCCAATTTTATGGCTGCTTGATACCTGAAGCAAAATTCTCCAGTAATTCTCCTAACTTCTTCTAATGTCTTATCACTAAAGTGGAATCCCCTAAGATAGTGGTTCCCAACCTTGGGTCCCCAGATGTTCTTAGACTACAACTCCCAGAAATCCTGGCCAGCACTGCTAGTGGAGAAAGCTTCTGGGAGTTTTAGTCCACGAACATCAAGTGACCCCAGGTTGGGAACCACTGCCCTAAGGGGTCTGACTCTAAAGCTTCTTTGTAGAATACTTATACAACTGTAGATTAACACACTTTCAGAAAGGAAAGTCCTTTGTTACAATTGTCCCAGATGTTTCTTATGCTGCTGCATTTTCTTCACATACCTTTTGACCTCCTGGAGTTTCTACGTTATGATGCTCTTTCAATTTTTGCTCTTGCTCCATGATGTCTTTCAAGTGTTCATTTACCTAAAATGACAAACCAAATAGCCCTAAATGAGTTTTGCATTCTTTCTCAGCAGAACATAATATAAGTGCAAATTCAGTCTGAAGAGTCTTTCATATATTATTATGAAACACCCAAAGAACAATTTCAATACAGTGCAGTTAAATTACATGAAAACAGATGCAATGCTCTACCCTCAGCCCATTTCAAGGGCATTACATTTTCTACCTTCACAAGAAATCTTTACAGCTCTGAATTGTATTCCCAGTATACCTTAGTGAAGACCTAAATTCTTTTTAGTTACTGCTGTCAATTAGATCATACAAAAAAAGAGAGACAATTTCTTTATCATGTCCCCTTTTCACAATGTCAGAAAATGAAGGTCATTTGGAGAAACAAGCATAGTAAGCATAGCAGGAGGAATGAGGATTTAGACAGTGCAAGAATGTGAGGTAAGTCCTCGTCAAAAAGTGAAAGGGATGAGGCCTAGTGGCAGATGGCAGCTAATGTCCCAGGTCTCCCTGAGTGGGCTTTGCATAGGCGAGAGCAGGGTGGAAAGGCACTGGTTGGGCCTGAAGCAGTGTGAGGCCCAGATAGTGCCAATTCAGCTCTTCTTCCAAAGACAGGAAATTGTAATGGTAACAAAGTTCTCCCAGAGATCCATCTCCCTGAAACAGTGCAGGAGGAAATTCTGAATGGGGGAGATATGTGAATGTGTTTATATTGATGAAGCCTGAAACACAGGAAGAGAGAGAATGGCATTGTGGGAAAAAGGTAAGGGAAAAGAGGGAGGGGAAGGAGGCAGCTGAGCATACATTTAATATATGTTGTCTGGGTACACTGTCTTCATGGAGATTTCCCCACTAGGAGTGGCGCTGAAGAAAACACCAGGTGAGTTTTGGCTAATCCATCACCTGTCATACCCTAAGCTGTCGTCGTTTAATTACATTAACCCGGCAGTGCTTTGTTCTGTTCATTACGCATCTTTTGACAGTGCATTCAGGTTAGAGAGTTCTTGAAAGGAAAGGGGCTCAAATGGCAAAGCGTTATATACAATCTGCATTTAGGCTCCTGCTGGTGCATCCCAAGAACTTTTATTTCTTGGAGTTTAAGTTCAGTGGGGAATGGTGTTACGACAATGGGGTCTGCAGTATCCTGTGCTGCCATTGAAACCTTTAGCACATTCCTAGAACTGGCACTGAAGGATAAGATGCGAAGTTTGCATGTTACTATTTTTCTTAAAGACTTTTTGATAGCTGGTCCATCCCGGTTCTCTGCATGCACGGCGAGGGTGCAGGCATTCAAAACCTTGGCAGAAGAACTAGGCATCTCATTGATTGTGGACAAGACAGAGGGGTCTGACCTCTAGCCTTGTGTATTTAGGGATAAAATTGGACACTGTATTAGGCGATTCCTCTTTGCCAAGGCTGACAACTTGTTCTTATACAGCAGCGTATTGCCGGGTGGGGGGAGCAGCTCCCAAAGAGGTACAGGAAGTACTAGATCATGTTAACTTCCCTTGCTGGGCAGTTTCTGTGGGAACAGACTTCTGTGGTCACCTTGCAAGAGCTATAGCTGAAATTCAGGCATAATTTTAGGATTACAAAGGGGATTTAAGCAGATTAGGAAGTGTGGGAAAATTTCTGGACACATTTCATTAGGAGAACTCTCTGACAGACTCCACTTAAGGCAGGAGAGACGTTGCAGGTTCAGTTGGGCACAGCTGACAGCAGTGGGTTTGGAGTGTTCTTTGATGTGCACAGCGGTGGCCACAGCACTGAGGAGGTGCCACCATTTATGGGGACCTTACATTTTTGGGAGGTTTTTTCCCCCCATACTGGTGGCAATATACCTATGGAAGGATTTGCTTAGGAATCATATGGTCAGATTCATGTGTGACATAATGGAGTGGTAAGGGTCATTAACAGACTTCGCACTTTGAGCAGATTATGAGGCTGGTATGCAAATTTGTGCCTGGAAGAGAACACTGTACAGTACTGTATTCTCATTGTCACACAAACTGGCTGTGAATAACGATGATGTGGATCCTCTCCCTCGATTTCAAAGTTTTACATATTGGCCCTGAAAGTGTAGAAAACGGAGGACTCTTTTCTATCAGAATTGTGGGAGCTTGGGAAGAATCTGTCTTGCATGGAGTGTTAAACTCAGTGCCCCCTCCCCACTGTTTGCAAGCGTTCTTGAATTTGACCGTTCCAAGGGAGCGGAATGGGAATGGCTGGTGCCAGACAGCAGGGTCCTGAGCTACATGGCATCTTTACAGGAGAGAGGTCAGGCACACAGGACAATCACAGGGCACCTAGCAGGTCTCACTTTCTTTAGTACGCTACAGCATTACCCCAGGCCTTTCACGTCTTTTCTGACTTGCAGAGCACTAGAACGGTGGTGCAGATTACTCAAGTCACCTCCTGACTCCCATAAACCTATCCCCCCCTCATATCTTCACAGTGCTGCTTAAGGTCTTGCCTAAAATATGCTGGTCAAAGACTGAGGAACTGCTTTTTCAGGTACCTTCAGAGTCATGTTTTTTTGGGGCATTCAGAATCAGTGAGGTGGTAGTTGCACACAATGAGGTGAGGTGGTAGTTGCACACAATGAATTGGGATGCACTTTCAACAGAAGGGATCCCATGACAGAGGCAAACAAAGTCCATTTGGTAACTGGGAGATCTAAAGCAGACGAGCTGAGGAGAGGGGGAAAAAAAACAGCCTGTGTAGTTCTGGGAAGGATGGCCCCAGCCTGATAAGAGTGCAAAGAACATACCTACAGGTTCACCTGCTATTGCCTGGCCTTTTGTTTATGTACAGTAACTGGTTGACATTTATGAAATTTTAGCTTGCTGGGGTCCTTAGGGTGGTGCTCGTAGCCTGCAAGCTGTAGTTGGGGAAGTCTGGAGCTCAGTCCTTCAGGACTGGGGCTGCTACAGCAGCTGCCAAGCTTGGGTTTATGAGTGAGCATATAATGACTAGTGGAAATCTGGGGCATATGAATCTCACATTAGAACAGGGGCACTGGTACACAAATAGTATCCCACCCCCCGTTTCGGCTTGAAGAAGGTTGGTGTAGATATGCCGGCATGGTATTGTGCATTGGGCTGGGGTGTACGCTGTGTTCTTGCACTAGAGAACAGACTGCAGGATTGGCTGGAGAGGAATGAGGTGGAGCACCCTGATGCCGGTGCTGAGGAAGAAAGCCAAGGAATGCAAGCAACCGGATATTGTGATAATCCAATTAGGAGAAAGCAACTTGGCAGGGAGAAAGGGCTTTGACCTCCTGAGTGCAACCAAGTTGGACTTCTATGAGTTGAAAACTCTGTTTCCAAAACCTGTTACTGGACTGACTGGAGAGGAGGCAATAGTGTGGGGCTGCCAATCCTGCAGGAGTGGACATTGACCAGAAGGAAAATAACGAACCAGATTGGACAATTCGTAGGGAAGTCAGGTTGGAGGGTTATTACCTATCCTGAGCTGTCATTTCATGTAGTGGAACAGTCTTGCTTTTAGCTTCCAGTATTTACCTTTCAGAGAGGGGGATGGATTTCATGTTACATGATGTAAAGGGAGGACTGTGCAAGTTGTTGCAGCTGCGTTGGCTGTGGCACAAGGCAGGGGGTAAATGTTATAACCCTTCCTGCCTCTTGTGGCATTTTTGAAGCATGGGGATAGATCCAGGAGCACGTGGTAGGCTTCTGTGGGTGCAGGATACTCTCCTAGGCAGAGCCCTTTTATAAGGTGGGTGTGGGGTGGTCACATAAATACCCAGGTCAGGGGCTGTTGTGTATTCTTCACTCCCTGGGAGATATGCAAGGCCACTTAGTGGATTATTATGCCTGTGTGGCTAAGTCTGAATCTGTTTCTCTGATCAGCATCAGACATCAGGCAGGGTGGCTGATGAAGATTTCTTCCCTATGCTAGTGCTAGGGGCTATTGCAGCTATAACTAGTATAGTTGTGGCCAATTTTATACCATACAGGTTATGTATGTGTGACATTTTGCACTCTGGCTGTGGGCTTGCTGACAAAGTGGTGCACAGATTCTTCACAGTGGGCTGTTGAGTGGTCTGCATTCTCTTCTTGTGGGTCAGGGTGTAACAGGACCTCGACAACTCTGCTGACTGACTGTACAGACACAACGGTCACAGAGAAGAATGGCTTTGTTGCTGCCACCACTACCACAGATTAGGCCTTCTGATGGGCTCTAGCCTGTGTTCAGTGAAACCTGCGCCAAGTTTTCATTACTCTAATCTCAATCCAACTCACTTTATCACTGTAAACTCCCTAGTAAATCATGGGCCTAGCCTGTCTCCAATCTGTGGGACAGATATTCAAGATAAACTGTTGCATTTGAAAGGTTAACCAGGGCCATTGACCAAAAAACTCCCCAAGATCCACTTGGATACAGCAATCTTCTGGAGCAGACCTTCCTTACCAACGTTCCATTCCCACAGCAGCTCTGAGTTCTAGCAATCAGGCAGTGATCCTTCCATGACAATAGAACTGAGAGACTTCCTCCACACCCAGATCACCATCATATTACCCGGTTAAAAAAAAAAAAAGGTCAAGAGTGTGCCTTGCAGCATGAGTGAGTCCAGATACCATTTTGAACAAACCCAGAGTTGTTAGGAAGGACATGAGGCCCATCTCAACATGGATGTTTATATCTCTCAGCCTAACAAGCTGAGGGGACTCCAAGGCTGCTGTTGAGGCCAATTTGGCTAGCTCAGGAAGAGACAGTGTTAAGCTGCAAGGTGGCTAGTACAGCAACATAATGTCTTTTATCCCAGGCCTCTATAGTTAGACAGACATACTTTAGACTTGACAAACTGCAGAACATAGCAACTGGTCAAGGGAATGGAGTAATGAAAAACCACTGTTACTCTGTATCCCCACCTCATCAAGTCTTGCACACAGAACCCACGTGAGCAGACTTGAGGGAGATTTAACCCCCCCCCCCAGCCACATCTCTATGATGCAAGCTGGTTGGCATGCTCCTCTAGCAACCAACAGACACACAACACAGGTTGAATTTAAGCACAAACTGGTGTGGTGTGCTCACAGCTGCTAACAGATGTAAAAGGAGGGGAAAAAAGAGGACCTTAACAAGTTTATTTTAGTACTATGTCATCCTTGGCCCATGGTTCCTTACTATTAGGCACCACAGCAAGTGTGACTATGGTCTGGTGAATATTGTAAGTCCCAACATTAATGGGCTGTTTCCACAGTTTCATAGTGATACCAATACCACGCCCAGTACTAAATGTGGAAGGAAGGGCAGGGGTGATTTACCTGTGTTTCGTTGTATATGGCAAACTAAACCAACAAGCCGACTACAATGTCCAGGTCAAAACAGGGCTGTGAAGAGGGCAGGGGACTATTCTTGTCTTCACAAAGACACAGCACAAGGTGAGAAACAGGAGGAGTGGAGTCTTGATGGCAATACTTGGTTTGATTACCAAGTTCAGTATATCACTAATAACAGTGGGCACACTAAGATGCCACAATATTTCAGATTTTTTTTTAAAGACACTGCATTATTTGGAGTGAGACAATATACAGTACTGGTGTACACCACCTAATCACTTGTGTTGTAAATTGAACAAAACATGTATGTGTGTGTGTGTATGAGATTTGAGATTGTTAGGTATGCAATAGGGAAATCATTCTCCTAGAGGTATCTTAAAGTAATGCATTCGTTTGGACCATGACCAACATTTGCTTGTTCCCAGTTCACTAAATTACTCATTGATAGTGAAACACACATGAGCCCCTGGCTTATGTTTCATCTAAACACAGACTACTATCCTTCTCAGACAACGCAGATGGGTAATCATGCAAGTGGATTCTCCCTATAGTAGGCTGTTCTTCACGTGACCATTCATGTATACATTATGAAATCAGTTTTAGCTAGTTGGGCGACTGTTCTTGCACATGCTTCCCACCCCCCAGTAGAATTGTGGCTGTCATTACCAACTGTGCAGTCAAACAAACTGATTTTGGTGATCTTCTATGGTGGATGATCTGCATAAACATTTAAGAAAAGCAAAACTAAGTTAAATGAAGTGCATGTCTATAAAAGATCCTACCTTATTTATCCAGAACATGACAGCATCTTCTATGTCATAGGGAAGGTCTGTGGCTTGGAAGAAGGAGGAATACTGCTGTACGCACGCAATCACCTTTTCCACACTGATCATTTCTACAGTGTATGCCATCATCAGGGTGTCAATCATAGCTAAATGAGCACTCTGCAATGAGAAGTGGTGACAGGTATTTTGAGACAATTTACTGGCAGAAATGACTGCACCTTTTAAAAAATTATGTTGTGCACTTCAAGGTCATACTTATACACTTAAAGAATTCCCCTCCCCAGTGGTAAAGATAAAGAACAAACTTAAAGAAGAGATTCACCCAAGCACAAGAAGATGCAATTAGACTTATTTATTGGATTTATATACAGCCCATCTAGCGAAGCTACTACTTTAGACTTGCCTTAAGTAATTCACCAACAAACACCAATATAAACGCACACCACCAGTGGTTACTGAAGAAATGGGCTAATTGGGAATAGTAACAACTATTATTAAAATATACACTACATACTAAGATATTCAGCAACTTTTATTACTAAAAATTAACAGGTCAGTCTTACTATTCTGTTGTTGCAAAACAGTAGACTAATGAGAGTCTAGTAGACTAAGGGAACACAAAGGTTTCAGTAATCATAAGACATAATTGGCAAGATGTAACATTGCAGAAATAAAACTCAAACGAAGATTTCTCCATTTACAATCGAATCTTTTAGCCACTGGGGGAAATTAGATGGGGCGGGGAGTAGATTTGAAACTGGAGAATATGAATCCTTTCATTACAATGGAGTCACCGGAGTATTATGCCCTCCACGCCAAAAACCCCTCAACTCCAGCAAGCTCATTTACATGCAGTCTATTCTGTATTTTGAGATACCTACCAGTTATAAGCACAGCATTATGAATAGACACAAACATGCTGTTTCTCACTTATTAAATATCTGATGTTAATGAGTTATCTTTCTGTTTCATACTACCTTAGGTAACATAAAATTAAAAATCAATATATTTCTAAAATGAGGAATCTAAATTTGTAATGTGACTGGTAAAAACCAGAAGCAAAGCATTTCCTTTATATATTAATCAAAAAATTATTGCCACAGGCTTAACAAATACAATAAAAGTCAACATAAAACACTCATGACATCGGGGAAGAAAATGGGTAATCAAAAAGAGGACTTCTGGCCTTTCAGATGTTGTATACTGTTCTTATTATGTGCTGTCAGGTCATCTCCAACTTATGGTGACCCTATGCTGCCTTCAGCCTTTCCCAATTATTATTGTCTTTTCCAGAGAATCCTGCTTTCTCACAATGTGCCCAAAGTATGACAACTTCAGTTTGTCATTTTTGCTTCCAGAGAGTGTTCAGGCTTAATTTGACCTAGGACTCACTTGTTCATCTTTCTGGCATTCCAGAGTACAGTATCTACAAAGCTATCCTCCAGCACCATATTTCAAATGACTTGATTTTTTCCCCTGCCAACTTTTTTCATTTTACAATTTTCAAATCTATACATGGCAATGGGAAATACAATTTTGTTGATTATATTGGCTTTGATCTCCAGTGACACTTCCCTATAGTTACTTCACTGCTGGCCTCCTGAGTCATAGTTTTCTGATCTCTTAGTTACAATCTCCATTTGATTTGATGATTGAACAAGGGTATAAAAAATCTTTAACAATTTCTATTTCATTGTCAGCATTAAAGTTATGGAGTTCTCCTGCAGTCACACATTTTATCTTCTGAATGTTCAATAGCAGTCCTGCTTTGGCACTTTCTTCTTTCACTTTCAACTGAAAATACTGCTGCTTTCCACCAGTATGATGTGTAATCTGCATATTTTAAATTACTGATGCCTCCTCCATCAATTTTCAATCTGCTTTCATCTGAATCTGGTGTAGCTTTCTGCATGATAGTTTTGCATACAGACTTAACGATCAAGAAGATAAAACACACCCTTGTCTGACAGCTTTTCCTATAGGAACTCATTCTGTTTCTCCATATTCTATTCCAACAGTTGTTTCTTTATGGAGTATAGATTACACATCAGGATGCTCAACTGTTATTTTTAAAACCATCCATAGCTTTTCATGATCCACACAATCAAAGGCTTTGCTGTAGTCTATAAAGCACAGACTGATTTTTTTCTGAAATTCTTTGGTATGCATCAGCAGTCAATGTATATTTACAATGTGATCTCTAGTGCCTTTCCCTTTTTGGAATAAAGTCTAAACACTGAGCATTTCTTGTTCTATATAGGGTAAAAATCTTTGTTGCAACATCCTGAGCATCATTTTGTCATTTACTACAATTTGTTATACATTACAGTTTCCATAATCCCTTACTGTAAAGGTTCCCCCTTGACATTTACATTTTTAGTCCAGTCGTGTCCGACTCTAGGGGGCGGTGCTCATCCTGTTTTTCAAGCCGTAGAGCCAGCGCTCGTCCCAAGACAGTTTCCATTGTTACATGGCCAGCGTGACTAGGGAACGCCGTTTTACCTTCCCACCGAGGTGGTACCTATTTATCTACTAGCATTTACATGCTTTCGAACTGCTAGGTTGGCGAGGAGCTGGGACAAAGCAACGGGAGCTCACTCCGTCGCATGGATTTGATCTTATGACTGTTGGTCTTCTGACCCTGCAGCACAGGCTTCTGCTGTTTAGCCCGCAGCCTTACTGTAGACCATGCTGGTTGGGACTTTAGGGACTTGTAGTCGAAAACATATGAAGATTGGTGCAGCAACAAGCCTGGAATTTTCTCTATTGTGTTGTAGGACATTATACATGAAGCAGTGAAAATGTCCCCACCCCCACCCCCAGCTCAAGGTGTAACATTTTAGGAGTATATATATATTGCTGCATGCACAACTCTGTGGGGTGACTGAAAGGAGGAGCAAAAGCCTTCTCCCTTTGCTTATTCCTCCCACTAGGAATTATTGCAGACGTTTGCTTTTTAAATACAAGATTCAGAAGAGTTATGTAAAAAGTGGTAACCATACAAAACTGCAATTGGATTTTTTTGTAGTTAAACTTGACTTGATCTGTCAAATAATCTGTAAAATCTCCTGTAATTACTGCTTCCTTTGTGTGAATTCCAGAAGCTTCAGCCATGCTGGAGATTTACGTCTGCTTGGTAAGAAGCTTACCAAATCCTGAACACAATTATTCTCAGGCACCATCACTAATGCTTCCTATGTTTGTCTCATGCTATTTGGGAATTAGATGGCTTTGCACAGAAAAATCTTGTTTAAACAGTTCAAATATTATTGTGAAAACAACAGTTTTTCCAGTCTTCTTTGCAGTATGTACATGGTAAAGGTATTTAATTTATATAAAAGATATTCCAATACTTTGAAAGCTCACTTTAAAGCAAGATGATGGCCAGAATCCCGTAAGGATTGCGTAGCATAATTGAGCAATCACACAAGTGACCTTACTTCTGCAGGTGGCTGTCCACAACAATTCTCAAGTATTTTCTGACTGGGAAAGTAATTGTGCAACAGAGAGCAAGAGAGAAGGACAAACTGATTGTGCCATTGCCCTTAAACATGTAATTTTTGTCAACAGGGTCTTGGACAATATTTATTAACTGAGGCAATCCAATACCTTGGAGAACAGCAGTAGAGTGGAGGTTTCAGTGTAGACTGGGACTAACCAAATATTTTAATGGAAATTAGCTAAATTAATTGCCAGATCAGCAGTTTCCCAATGCCTGAGATTTCATGATCAAGGCCGGGCTCCTGTGCTGGTGAGGTCACTGGAGGTGGGCTGCTGTGCAACAATTGTAAAATAAAGTGGATGTCTGTGTATGTGAGTGTGTGTGTGTCAAAAAGGTTTGCCACATCATCTCCTAAACAAATATTAAGGACAACACTCACAGAAACACCTTCGGGTTGAATGAATAAACCACATTGTCAGTTCAGACTGGAAAAAAAGGGCAACCGGGTTTTAAAGCCACCACAAAATAATATCAACTATTCCCAACCTCTAGCGTTGTTCATTCTGAGATGTTTCTCCCTGTATGGAAACTGGAGAAGCAATGCAATTTCTTGAGACTTCAGCTTGCGCTTTGAGACCTGGAAAGCCTACAATACTGAGAAACTGGAAGTATTGTATTTCTTTTTAATGGTTGTTAACTGATATAGTGTATCAACAATGTGTTGATAGGGCTTAAAAGAAACCCTTTCACAGCATCACTGATATGTTAGCAATTCTTAAAAAGTTATACAAAACTTCCCCTTTTCCCTGCCGGACTGAAAGATTTGCATTTCTCAAGATCATTAACTGGTTTCTCCAAAGGTCCAGCCAGCTAGCAGTTTAATAATCTCAAATTTTTTTCCCCTCTAAATGGAATTAAAATCTTGATCATGAAAAACAAGGTTGCTTGATGGGCAGTGTGGTTTCCTGACCTAAGACCACATAGATTCTGCACGTGGATGCAAGGACTGCACCAGGCACCTCAATTCAACCTAGAATTTTTTTTCTTAAGTGCCATCAAGTCAGAACTGACTTACAGCAACCCTAAGAGGGCTTTAAATGTAAATGAGATATCTTTAAGGAATGGTTTTTACCAGTTCCACATTGGGAGCGAGTTTCTATGGCTGAGCAGGGTTTGAACTCACACCTCCTGAGTCCCAGGCTGTCACTCTGCTTACTACACCACAGCGTATTTTAAATGACTTTAAGGAACCCTATTTAACCCAATCCTGTCTGATCCAACCCGGCTGTGCAGCCACACCCTTAGTCCATTGTGTGTATAAGACTGGAAAGATTGTTCCCTGAATTCTCACCAACACTATCCTCCTGCACTTGATCAGAAATCCACCAGAGAAGTGGTGTCATCATTATCACATGGCAAGCCAGCACAGATGAGAAGTTTACCAAGCAGCTACATATGCTTCTGATTCATCTTCTTTCTCACTTTACTGGCTGCCTTCTCTACAGAGTAAAACCGAGAGCACCCAAAGAGGACAAAGAGGAAGAAGAGCACAATGTTCCTGTCACATTCCCGCCTGTCCTTTGGTTGTTTCACCAAACAAAGGCACAAGCTATATGCATGTCGTTTAGCTGCCACCAGTTGATTACATCAACGTTATTCACTATTAAAGACAGAGGTCCAGTCGACGTGTCATTAAAAATCCAAGTAGAAATTGTTT